GCCTAATAACAAACAACACAACCTAAACTAGAAATACAGAGAACAAGGAAAAATAGTCACACAGGGAGCCCAACAATAATGATTAAACAACAGAACCAGAACCTAACAGAACCCTGCTGGAATGCTTCTACATTTAAAATCTTCAGTTGGTAGAAAACAAAATGAAAATGTAATTCTAATGAGCTACGTCGAAAAAGAAAGAAACACTGACAAAATACAAATAAAGGAAGAGGGCAAAGAACTTCACAGCCTTTAGGTTTACTCAACAAACTAATTCGCTTTGCTGTGTCGACTTAGTTTAAGAAATTCACCCGACGTTTGTCAGAGTGAACATTACTCATCTTTCACATCAGTGGTTTAACATAAGAATCCTCAAACTGTCTTCCTTCACTACACCTTTTCACCATGATAAAATGGTAGGGTGCAATGTGCATACCATTAGTGTTGCCTGCACTCTACATGAGCATCTTCACCGTTCTGCTATCCTGTTCAACTTGGTCAGAGCCATCGCCCCCCTCTCCATCATGCTAATGCTCATGCTAACTGAGTTATTAAAAACTTTTTCAAACTCCATCTTCTCGATGTCACACTTGTTGCACAAGGTTGTTAGCAAGAGAATCCCATTTATTATGATGCTAAATTACTGAAGCTCGTTTACTGGCTAATGCTACAGTTGAGGCCAAAATTATTTTGGATCATTTTGCTAAACTTTTGCCCAATGTTTGCAGCATTGATGAAACTTGATATAATCAAACATTCACCAGCGCTATTTAGTAGCTTTTGGTACATTATAAAATACATTTTTAGGCTTGCTTTATATCAAATATAATTTTAAAAAAATGGGGTGGTCAAAAATATTAGCCCTATGTGAATGTTTGCTTTCAAAACTCCTAGATCAATTAACCAATCAGCTTTGAAACCACATGTGTGCAGAACTGGCTTCCTAACAACATTCAATCAGCATAGAAAGGGTCCAAGGAACAGGGACTTGAACACATGAGGAGCTACTGTTACTGACCATTGCCAAAGACAAAGGAAATAATTCTGGAGCTCAAAAAAAAGATAGTAGAGGCTCGTGATAAAGGGCAAGGCTACATTGCCATTTCCAAGCAATTCACAGTGTCTAGAAATGCTGTATGTTGCATCATTGCCAAGTACAAGGAGACAAATTCTGAAACAAACCTGGCCGTGGCCGTAAGCACAAGATTTCAAGAACTCTGGAGAGGAAAATAGTCAAAGATGTCAGCAAGGAACCCCGGACATCTGCAAAGACGATCGTTGCTGATCTGGCCTCTTCTGGAGTTGATGTTTCAAGGAACACAGTTGTGACGGCTCTTCATTGTGGCGGACTTCAGCAGCATCGTCGCAGAACATCCCCTTTACTCAAAGAGCAGCACATTGTAGCCCGACTGAGGTTTGCCAATGAACATTTGAAAGGTAAAGATGAGTTTTGGTAGTCTGTGCTTTGATCTGATGAGACTAAACTGGAACTGTCTCAGCACAGTTGTTGCTTATGTTTGGCGAAGAAAGGCACAGGCCTTCAAGCCCAGGAACACAGTTGGGACATCATGCTGTGAGGCTGTTTTGGCGCCTCGGGCACAGGAAGCCTTGTTTGGTTGCATGACATCATGAAAAAACAAATTATGTTGACATTTTGAAGGAGAATTTGCAGAAATCTGCTTATAGTCTAGGCTTAGGTCATCGCTGGGTCTTCCAGCAAGACAATGACCCAAAGCATGCATCAGAATTAGTCCAACAGTTCCTCAAGGATACCAAAACCAAGATCCTGGAGTGGACCATTCAATTTGGAGCAGCTAGAACAGTTTGCAATGGAGGAATAGGCCAAAATCCCTCAGGAGACCTGTGCCAACCTTGTAAAGACCTACTCTAAGAGATTGTTGTCAGTTGTGGCTCAGAAACGGTACAGTATTGACTATTAATGGCCATGGGGCTAATAATTTTGGATGTTTCATTTTTGCCCTTTTTTCAGTTTGGTGTATCAATAAAATATTAGGGATGCAACGATACCAATTTTTTCAAACCGATACGATACCGATACTTGGATCTGAGTACTTGCCGATACAGAGTACAAAAAACGATACTTCTACCACACACACACACACACA